GGGGCTGGGGCAGGAGCAGGGTCTGGGGCAGGGGCAGGGTCAGGGACAGGGTTAGGTCAGGGTCAGGGTCAGGGTCAGGGTCAGGGGCTGGGGCCTGTCCACACGGCAGTCTCCCTCACCAACATCTCCACCATGCTCCTAACAACTGGTACGCCCAGCTGTTTTCCTCCATCTCACCCACCACCGCCATCATAGAGACTTCAAAGCCACAAAGAGGAGGCTTGCACTCCGGCCTCAGTGCTTCAGCTCTGGCATCACTCCCTCCCTGATGTTCTACTAAGAAGACCTGGACGTCGTCATTTGGGTAAACGTAAGGGTCTCCCTCCCGAGTCTTTCTCCTCCTCGTGCCTCCTGCCCCGCCCCCGGGCCTTCTCGGTTGGCCCGTCCACTGCAGGGACGTGGTCTCCGTGCTCCCACCGCCTCTTTGCTCTCACTCGGTGATGCCCTCACGTTTTGCTCCTCACCCGAGGACCTTTCCCACTGATTTCTAGAGAGTGGGAGAGGGGGAGGGGCAGAGAGAAACATCGCTGTGAGAGGGACACGTGGATTGGCTGCCCCTTGCATGCGCCCCAACCAGGGCCTGGGCAGGGGAGGAGCCTGCAACCGAGTCCGTGCCCTTGACGGGATCGAACCGGGCCCTTTTGTCCGGAGGCTGCCGCTCTTGCTATCATCCATGTGCTGAGCGAAGGCCCCGGACGCCCGGCTCCTGGCGGCTCTCTCTTCCCTTCACTGCGCTTGGCCGTCCCTTTCTCCCCTCAGGGAAGCGCTCCTCCTGCCAAGGCGGACCCCTCGGCTCTGCCCCCCACTGCCTCCCACTGGACCCTTTTTCCCTCTTAGTTTTCGCTTTTCTTGCTCCTCTTCATTTTACAAATTCATTTTTTTTCTTGAAAATAAAAAAAATCCTTCCCGACTCTTTCTCCCTTCCGTCTCCCACCTTCCTTTTCTGTGTGATGTCTCAAGAGACATCTCACCACCCTAACCAGCCACTTTTTCGGGAACTGGTAGAATTTCCCTCATCTGTAAAACCTGTGGGTTGACTAGAGACAATTCTTAGTTTCTTCCGTATTCGCCATTCTCTGACTTTGTACCCACTACCTCCCTTTCCTCACCTCCTACTCATGCCTCGGCCCATGTAAGGCGACTTCTGCCCTCTGGTAAGTGGAAACTGTCTTCTCAAAATCTGTAATCACCTCGTCCCGAGCCTAAGCCATCTTCTCAGCCCTCCCGGCCCGGCCTCTTTGAAGCACCAGAGGTGCCTCCCCCGCTCGGCTCCTCTCTGATCGTCCTCAGGCTGGCTGCTCACCCTCTCTTTGGGGATCCTGTCCACTCAGAGGAGTGACCCCCAAATCGATTCCTCTGGCCCAACGCCCGGGGCTGCATCCCTGCTGGCGGCAAACCTCCACCTGCCGGGCCAGCGCCTCCCCCCGCACTCCCCAGTCCACGCAGCGCACCTCCCATGACTGCGTGGTTGTTCCGTGTACACGTGTAGTGTGTTTCAGTAGATGGCACGTGCTGAGGGCAGTGGCTTTATCTCGCTTATGCCCACTGTCTAGCAGAGCACCTGGCTCCCATCGGCAGCTGGATAAAAATGTACTGATTGTGTCTGAAATGGACTCGCCTTTCCCCACGGCCACGCATCTCCTTTGTTCAGGACATTATCACCTTTCCGATTCCCTAAGCTCAACACTTGGAGTCATCTAAGACTCCTCTTCCCTCACTGGTACCACCCAACCCGTTGTCTTGACATCCTCTGGAAGTTTACAAAGTCTGTTCCCTCTTTTAATACCACCGGCAGTATTGGGACCTACGGAGTAAGTGTACGGAGTGAGTGAGCCTGATGAGGGTCCCATTGCTCCTGAGCGGTGTGGCCCGAGCACCGCACCGACGCTGATGAGCCTCGGTCTCCCGCTCTGGACATGCAGACCCACCTGTCCACTGGGCGCCGCAGGCAGGATTACCGGACGTAGGAAGGGAGCCTGGTCATACATAGACAGTAGGTGTTCAAACATCACCTTCCTCTTCCCGTGGCGTGTGCACAGCAGGCCGCAGTGCCACTGCCCCCGACCAGCCTGAGCCCTCTGCTGGCACCTCGGCATCCAACGCCGCGCCCGCCGCCAACCCCTGCTCCCTCGCTGCTGGACTTCCTCGCCCGCCCGCTCTTTTCCTCCACATACTCTGCTCTGGACGCCCGGCCTCTGCTCAAGCATTTCCCTGACCTCTGGTGCCCCCGCTCACCGCACACAGAAACGCTACCCATTGGCCAGCGCCAGCTCCCATGTCTGCCCTCCTCAGGGTGCTTTTCTGCACCCACCGCCGCCTTCCCCGCGGCTCACACTGCCGCCACTGGGGTCTCTCAGGCTATTTGCTGTGCGGCTGGGCAGCCCTTCAGGCCCCTTTCCTAACTCAACCCAGACCTGACTGGACCCCAAACCCCAAACAGACCTCCTTCCACCTCACCAGTCTCGTTCCCAACCCTGTTTCTCTAACTGAAACCCAGACACCTTCCCCGAGAACGGATCCCTGGCCCCGTCTCCGGGGGACACGCGCTCTCCCGCTTCACGGGAGGCAGAGTCACCCCGGGTGCCTGGGCCCCTCCCTGCCCCCACCTGGTGGACAGGAAGCCCGCTGCCTGGCCCAGGAGGTCAGAGGAAGCAGGGCCTCTGAGGCTCAGTATTTTTATCAGCCTAGGAAAAAGAGACACTGAAGCGGAAACCATGTGGTCAGAGAAAGTGAACAGCCCTCATCTCAGGGGAACCCCCAACAGGGCTGGGGGCCAGACACCAGGGAGGGACACTGGAAAGAGGGGGGCCTGGGGCCGGGAACAGGCCGTGCTGTGCTGTGGGTTATGTAACTTTTGCAAAGGGCCAGCAATGTGCTTAAAGCCCGGAGGAAACCTGGATGGAGGAGCAGACTTGGACACCAGTTTCCTGACGCTCACCTGTCAGCTCCCAGTCGGACTGTCACCCCACCCCCCACCAACCTGAGCTCTTTGCATGCCACTTCCGAAGCCCCCAGCTGTGAGCGGAACCGGACGCCTGGGCTGCTCACAGCCCGTCTCTTCTCTGAATCACAGCAGCTTCCTCTCACAGCCCTTCCTCTTCCTGCCCCACATCTGGCCGGTGCCTCAAGGCCTTGGGCCTCTTGGCTCTCTCTCCCCGGGGTCTCGTGCTCACCCCACATTCCCATGCCACGTTCGGAGGCTGCCCCTTCCCTCCTCCAAGGCCCCCCCTTCTACTCCCGGCTTCTCCCGCCGGCGGAGACTGGGCTCCCAACCTGAGAGATAAGCTTGATGCATAAGCGCCCTGCAGCAGACAAGTGCCCACGGCACTGGCCACCCTGCCCTTTCTTCTCCCTTCACTGCTGTGCCCGGGTGGGGGTGGGGGTGGCCGGGGTCAGTGCTGTCTAGTCCCACACCAGTCCAGGGGCTGAGAGCTGAGCATGAACAGCGGAAGGGGTGGCGCCCCGTCCTCCGCGGAACCCCAGGCCTTCTCCCTCCACCCTCAGATGTTTCTCTGGAGGCCAGGCCTGGCTGCCCAGCGATGGAACCCAGGCTTCATGGGGGCAGAAGCTATGGAGGGAGCTGAGGCTTGAGCTGTCGAACTCACTCAACGTGTTTGGAGGCTTTGCCTAGAAATACACGATAAAGATTTATTCACAGGTTTGCAAACTGGAAGCATAACTAGGCAAAACCCCAGAAGTGTTTCCGAGTAAGAAGGAAAGTTAAGCGTCCTGGTACGAGTGCACTCTGGAGAGTGCCAGGACCCACCGTCCAGGAGGGCGCCGTCAGACCCGGGTGGTCTGGTCACACCGTGTCTGGGTGATGGATGTCAGGTCAAGGCGTAGTGAGGCCTCCGGGGGTAATCGGGGGTATAGGAGGCACTGACACAGGCCGGGAAAATGCCGAAGGTTACGCTCCCAGACCGGTTAAAATGAGCACAGAATCGTTGCCTCAGGCCTCAGCCAACTTGGCTTTAGTGACTGAGCAGCTTGACTAGAGTGAGTCCATGTTACTCCTTCACTCTCCGCGGGTGTGGGTCCCTGGTTGCCCAAGAACAGACAACCCAGGTTACATAATTTGGCTCTTTCCGCCTACTTCCCCTGGTCCTAATTTTAGCAACCGAAATTCCACTCCCCCACAGGGCTCCTCCTGCATCCTGCTCCTGTCCCGACCTCTCACAACCTCCTCGTGGCCCCCAGCCCCGCTGCCCCCCTTGGACCATTCGGTGACTCAGCAAGGGAAAGCCCTGTCTGTCGGGGAGGCAGTGAGTGGGGAGGAGGATGTGGTTCTGGGGGGGTGGGGTGGGGGGGAGGGAAACTAGTTTTGTTCCCTTTTTTGGCGGGTGTTCACATTCATCTCTTGGGCCCCCAATTACCGAGGGGAACCCAGCATAGGGAGAGAGTGAGACTGGAGGGCGCACTGGCCTGCTCAGGGCCAGCCTGGGTGGGCACGCA